CCAGGGTCCCACTGCCCACACAGGTGTGACAACCAGGGTCCCACTGCCCACACAGGTGTGACAGCCAGGGTCCCACTACCCACACAGCTGTGACAGCGAGGGTCCCACTGTCCACACAGGTGTGACAACCGGGTCCCACTGCCCACACAGCTGTGTGACAGCCAGGGTCCCACTGCCCACACAACTGTGACAGCCAGGGTCCCACTGCCCACACAGCTGTGACAACCAGGGTCCCACTGCCCACACAGGTGCCATCTACATCAAGCAGCTCAGGTAACGTTGGCAACACAAGGCTGAGTGGTTCTGCTGATCTTCACCTAGAGTAAGGAAACTGCCACAAAATTCAGTTTTGCAACAGTTTCTGCAGCAGTTCCCAAATGAACTCGCTTGTGTGGCACAGGAAAAGCTGCTGTTGCACTTCATTTTAAAAAAGCTGCCCACAGGCTGTAATGGAGAATACAAAGGCTCTACAGCTTGTCCTTTATAAATTTAAACACAAACAGTGTTGAGCAAAGTGACCACTATATATTTGCTTCAACATATTCAATGTGTTTCAGTAAGATGTTTTAACTATAAATCTATATGAAAAATAGCTATAAAATACAGTGTTTCTTGTATGGTAGTCCTTCAGCAGTTCTTTTTAGAAAAAAAAATGTCTTGAAAGTAAAGGCAATTACGCATTTTTAAAAGCATTTCTACATCACAGTTTTGGGCTGTTTCATGTACACCAAACATATTGGCCATATTTGCTCAGCACTGTAACTCAGAATCCAAGAGTTTGTCTATCTCACCCAAACCCCCTCAATCCCACATCAAGAGAGAAACAGGATATAGCCAACACAGCACTGTGAATCAAAGTAACGTGATTTCCATTTGGCCCTGTGCTGCATTTTGCAGTATGAAGAGCAGTCAGTACTGGTGCAGGTAAGATGGTCTGCGCTCGTGCTTCACCGGGAAGGATTTAAAGCCCTTGTTGATCTGTTTGTGCTGGGAAGCCTGTTGGGATTGCTGCTGCTGCTGCGCGTAGGCGAAGCCGGAGGAGATGGCGGCTGCCGGGGCGCAGTCGCTGGCCCACATGGGCGACTGGAGCATCTGCATGGTGTCACTCCACTGGCTCACGGGGCTGCTCATGGGGTACAGGGACGTGCTCTGGCTGGGCAGCGTGCTGGGCACAGAGGATGTGTGCTGCCACGGGGCCTTGGGAGGCCACGTTTTGGTCTTGTTATCCTGAGAAAACAAAAGCAGTTGGGAGTGGTTTGGTTTAACAACAGAAAGCTGCGTTTTTGAGACACTACTTAACATGTCACCTTATCACCTCAAGATACTTTCACAAGAGCGGTTTCTATCTGAAAGTCAAACTGATAACTGAGGTTCTCAATTCTTAAAATAACTGCCCGTTAAAAAACACTTACTTCAGCTTGACACACAGTGGCCCCACTAAAAGGGAAAAGTGACTTCCAATTTTAATGTATTAAGCTTGGTGACTTTGACAAAAGCATCTCATGCTATTTGAGTGCAGATGGTTTAGCTTTTCACTGAAGTAAGCAATCTGGAGATCCAGATGCTTTTCCAGTTGACTGCCTCATGGAGACTCAACCCCAGATGCCAGCAGGAGAAAGGACTAAGCAAAGCCACGCTGAGCTCACCTGACTGCGGTCATCTGCTGCAGAGAGAAGTGGAGGTGATGGCAGTGTGCTGGGCTCCTGTTCACCACTGCTGTGTTTTCTGCCCAGAAAGAGAGAGACATTCACGTTTTGGTTTTAAATGAGTCAGCCTCATTCATCTGCCACTGGCACAGATCAGGCAGCCTGCAATACTGTTTTCAGTGTATGTGTTTTCAGAAACATCTGGTTTTCATGTACTTTTTGTTCAGTACAGGTAAAAGCAACAATACAGAAACTCTCACTAGTTCTTGGAGCTACAGCTTCAACATTTTTGTAGAGGTGAAAGGAAACTGGGATAGACTTTTGCCCACTTTCAAGAAATCTGCCAGAAATTGTGGTTTTTCTTCTGCTATCTGTTCTTGTGGCTAGGTTTCTTTTGAGTTTTTTATCTTTTCTGAAATAACCTTAGAGATAACACGAACAGCTGAGCAAGTGAAACATCTGCTGAAGCACAGTAATTTTACTGAAGAAAAATGTTTCACCTTCAGTTTAAATTTGTAACCTAACACCTAGTTATCAAATAGAAATCCTTGTGCATTCTGGAACATTTTTTTTCTTGGGTTTTTGGTCTTCATTGTTTGTTTGGGTTTTTTTTTTTTTGTTTTAGTTTGTTTGGTGAGGTGTTTTTTTGTTTGTTTTTGCTTTGTTTTGTTTTT